ATCCAATGTCATAGAGTAAACATCATGAAATGATTTTCAAATTACGTGATCTCATCAGCAGGACGGATCCAAGATACAATTTCAGTCAGTAAGTATATACCTAAATTAATTAAGATCTAAAAAGGCTATAAACTATAAGTTATTAATATAAAGTTAACAAAATTTACATATATTATAAAAAGTTACTTCACAAAATTCTTTTTTATTTATTTTATAATTCACAATTACTCCACACGAGACTTCATGTATTGAAAACGTTGTAAGATGTTCTCATTATCAACATTTTCAAATATCTCATTTTCAATAAATAACCAAACAATCATTTAACAAATCATTCCTATAACTAATCATTAACTATTTATTTTAACCGACCAATACATAACCATAAATTATGTATTTCATCAATTTTTTATAATTTTTTTCTAAGTTACATTGGAAATTCAATTACAAGTAAACAATATAATTAAATTCATTTCAATTATTATAAACAAAATAAAATATATTAAATACACATAACTAACAAACATTTACTTTGGTTTTAAGAGTTCTTATCCCCGCCCTTACTTTGGTTTTAAGAGTTCTTATCCCCCGCCGGCCCTAATTTCACTATTAACATTCAATTTTTCTTTTTCAATTATGCTTTATTTAAAATCATTTATATCCTATTATTCCAATAACATCATATTTTTATAATTTTACTTTTCTTAATTTAATATTTAAGAACTCTAATTCAAAATTTAAGAATTTTGCATAAATTTTATTAATATTTACTGAAATTTATACAATCAAGTTTATAATATCTTGCCCAATAACAATATGAAATTTGAATGGTAACTAGTCAAAGTTTTCTGCTTCTTTTGTTTTCTTTTAATGTCGTGAGTTTTCTTTTTATTTCTTTCTCTCACTTGATTTTCTCTTTAATTTTTAAGTTAGATATGTTCGATGTTGGAAAAAAAAGATATGGTGTGGTGACTAATTTATAAGAACATACACAAGAACAAAGCCAAAGAACAAGAAGAAGAATAAGAGGAATGATATTTTTATTAAAAGTCTTCTAAAAAAATAAACCTTTATAGCTCTTCTTTATATCTCTCTATACCTGTGTATTATGCTTAAGATTATAAGCTTATTTATAGGCCTCGAGTCTTAGATAATTAAGGAATTAAAGCATTCAAAGGAAATCCTAATCTAATAAGAAATCTAATATTCTAATTAAACAAGGATTCTAATAAACTAGTCTATTACAAATCCTAATCTAATATTCTAATTAAACAAAGATTCTAATAAACTAGTCTATTACAAATCTTTCTTCATCAAAGATTCCTACATTAATTAGGATTCCTCATTTAGCCAATATTGAAACTTTTACAAACTCTAAATCCTAGTTGATATTGAACTTCAATATTCAATACTCACTACCTCATCTATCTTGCCTTAAATCATGGTTTCTCTTCAGGGTTTTAGTAAATAATCTCTCAATTTTTTTTTTCTAATGTTTTTCAGCATTGGGCTTTAAAGGGAAGAAGAAGCTGAATTTCTAGTTTTTCTAGCTTATTTATGAAATGAGCATACATGTTATTTTTTATCTGAGTATTGATATTCTTACATGGCTTTTTTAAATTTAGATTAACTTAAAATTTTAACCCCAGATAGAGCAATGTTTCGGGAGGCTCCTCATAAACTTTCAGTCCAATTTGACGTCTATTGAAAGTGATGCTCGATAGTATAAAATTAATCAGTAAGTGATTTTACATCAAAATCCTCCAAATTTTCTTCTTTAATCATTGCTAGAACCATATCACTTGTTTCAATAAGTTTTTGGAGCCATTTTTTTATTTCAAAAAATATTTTTTTTTCATCATTTATTTCATTTACATACTTACTATAATTTCACAATAACGTTACTGATTTTTAACAGGGGTTTACCTTTTCGCGTAGTTCTTTCTTAACTTTTATTTTTTATTTCCATTTTAATTCCTTGAAATTATTTTTTTTTATTATCAAAACATATCAATTTAATTTTTTTTCTAATTTTTTTATCTATCAAAACTCATTACCGGTTTTTTGCATGATATATATTTCATTTGATTTTTTTTGGCAGCGTGGGCAAGTGCCCACATTGCCCTCGTTCTGGATCCGTCCATGCTTCTAAGCTTAACTAGTTGTGCAGGATCTGTTTATGAAATCAACCTTAGATTCGATATTCAAAGTTGCATTTGGGGTTGAGCTAGACAGCATGTGTGGATCAAATGAAGAAGGTATCAAATTTACCAGGGCTTTTGATGATGCAAGTGCATTGACCCTATGGCGATATGTTGATGTGTTCTGGAAAATCAAGAGGTTTTTGAATATTGGATCGGAAGCTGCATTGAAGAAAAACGTCAAAGTGGTTAATGATTTTGTGTATAAACTAATCAATAAAAAAATTGAGCTAATGCGTAACTCAGAAGAAGTTTCTTCTGTGAGTATCTCTCCTTGAAACTATTATTTCTGATAGATTGCAGAGGCATGAATTTTATTTGATCTTACATGGAAAATGCAGTTAAAGAAAGACGACATTTTATCAAGGTTCCTGCAAGTGACCGAGAGTGATCCAACATACTTACGGGACATAATTCTCAATTTTGTGATTGCTGGAAAAGACACAACAGCAGCTGCTCTATCATGGTTCATCTACATGTTGTGCAAGTATCCAGCTGTGCAGAAAAAGGTTGCACAAGAAGTAAGAGAAGCAACTAAAGTGAAAGAGATCACAAATTTTGCAGAATTTGCAGCCAGTATTAATGATGAAGCTCTAGAAAAGATGAACTATCTCCATGCAGCAATTACTGAAACTCTTAGACTGTATCCATCTGTGCCTGTGGTAAGAAGAAATTATGTGCACTTGCAATTCCTGGCTGCAAGAAACAACACAAATAAATTTGTGACTATTTACGAATTCTTCAAGACTGAAACTACGATTCTTGAGCAATAAATGCCTTTAATTCTCGCAGTATACTAGATGTTTCAACGTGCTTGTATAGAGTTAAATATAATGCTTCCTGGATACTTGTATAATTTTATTTTATTTGTTTCTGTATCTCAAAATTCTTTGCTTTTCAGGATGCGAAGGTTTGCTTTTCTGATGACACTCTACCAGATGGCTTTAATGTGAGAAAGGGAGATATGGTGGCTTACCTACCTTATGCAATGGGCAGGATGAAGTTCATATGGGGCGATGATGCTGAGGAATACAAGCCTGAAAGATGGCTCAATGAGGATGGCGTGTTTCAGCAAGAAAGCCCTTTCAAGTTTACAGCTTTCCAGGTTAGTGGAAATAAAGATATGTCTAATTCACTTGATTAACATTCAAATAAATTTTTTGCTGCCTTTGCTGTGCAAATCATTGAGATCTATTTTCAGTGCTTGCTCAGCTTAACTTTATGGACTCCCAATCTCGTTGACCAAATGACTAAAATCAGACTTTCTGCTGGTTAACAGGCAGGGCCACGGATTTGTCTTGGGAAGGAATTTGCTTATAGGCAGATGAAGATCTTCGCGGCTGTCTTATCGGGCAGTTTCATTTTTAAACTCGCTGATGAAAGGAAACCAGTCAATTACAGGACAATGATTAATCTTCATGTTGATGGAGGCCTCCCTGTTTGTGCCCTCCACAGAGACAGTGCTTAGCTCAGTATATCTGTAATGGTATTACATCAATAAACATGGGCAAAACCCAGCCAAAACCATCCAAGGTAAACGAGGTTAAACAATGTTTTCCTGGTAAAGCAAAGACTTGCAAAATCAGAGGATTTATATGGATCTGTGGTGAAAATAAATCTATGTTTGTTCAAGGAACTGGCATTGAAGACCCCTCGGTTTGATTTAAAGGTGGATTTGGATACAAACCTATTACTATTAGGCACAATAATTCCATCGTTTATTGCCCCCCATAAGACGACAAGACGCATCATGCACATTCTTAAGTAACTGCAGAGATCTCTGAACTTGTTTGAACAACAGAATGTCCATTAATTCATATATAACTATTAAGTAACAATGAAGCTATACCTTAGAAGGGGCAGTAAGCTTTGGGGGAGCTTGGACCACATCTCCAAACTGTATCTGCTCACGTCCAGGAAAGTCCTGACTCTCCTCGGATTTCTTTGTTTTTCTTCCACATATTAAACTGTGATCATGTAGATGTTCAACAACCATATGCTTGAACAAGCCCGTGAGTGGGGTTTAGATACTAAAATTTGAATTCACATGCAGCCAAATTAGAAATGAAATTGAACAGAATTTCAAGCACACCAAGTGCGCTACATGAATCCTTGTACCGTCCTCTTCAAACTAGAGAAAAAACCTACAGGGGCCATAATAGAGTGATATCCTCCACTAAGTCCTTGGCAAGTCTAATGCATTAACCCGTAGCCTTATCATTCTGCCCGCAGCAATTATAAGTGCATGCCCCCCTAACAAAAATCCTACCGATGATCCAAAATTCTTGGAAACTGTTTCGACCACCTGACACAAACACATCAGGTCCGAGTATTGCACTCGAAACAAATAGTTAACATTTCTAAAAATAAAATGCAGACATTAATAGGTGTCATGAAGTAGCTTTCTTTGCAAAAATTAGGTTAGTCAAAGGCACTACCATTACAAAAATCACATTAGCTTCCTGAGTAAAAGGTTTTCCCTGTAAAAAAGAGATAACAAGATGAGACCCATGGCACATGCTTGCTCATACCCAGAACATCCCAGAGAGAGTCTGAGGGCCACACATCATGAGTTAGATGCAGAACTAGCAAACTCAGTAGCTAGCTCCTTCCTCGTGAGTGAATCAGTGAAAGCACTCTACTCAGCAAAGCCTTATTCCCAAACACAGTTGTGATCATTTACATGGATGATTTCCCTCTACTCTATTCTGTTTTAGCCAACTTTCTATACATGTTTCATGGTGGCATAAGTATCCAATTCTAAAGCAATTTTAGCAAATGTAAAATAGTCATAATGACAAAAACTTCAAGAAGTCAAGTTTCATGTGAGCATGAAATTTCACCACAAGAGTTCTCCGCGAACAATTTTCAACCAATCTAATTCAATGCTCAACTTTACGTAGCTAATAACACAGACAAGCATGTTGAAAGAAATCAAGCATGACTCCCAAGTTGTCAAGAATTCACAAGAACGGGAGGTGTGCAGAAGTGGATGAAATTCTTCCCGATGGCTTTGGAACGAAGAAGGGTGACGGACTATACTATATGGCATATGCCATGGGTAGGATGCCTTACATTTGGGGAGACGATGCCGAGGATTTTCGGCCAGAAAGATGGCTCAACAATGGGATTTTCCAACCTGAATCACCATTTAAGTTCATAGCATTTCATGTTAGTATCTTCTCTTCGTTTGTTGCAGACATGACGTGTGAAACAATTTCCAAAGTTGTTGGCTGTCCCCTTGCAGGCAGGTCCTCGGATATGTCTGGGCAAAGACTTCGCGTACCGGCAGATGAAGATACTATCAATAGCCCTTCTTCGGTTCTTCCGCTTCAAATTGGCTGATGACACAAGAAAAATAACTTACAGGACAATGTTCACACTTCACATTGAAGGAAGTCTGCATCTTCGTGCTATTGGAAGGACCAAGTCATGAAGATTAATTATGTCAAGCAAATAATTATGGCCTGGTGAATCTTGTTTGTACTGTATACGTTGATACACATATCAATTATAAACAACTGTGATTTCTATCGGTATGTTAGCTGCAGCTGTCTCACTACTTTGTCACCTTGGAGATAAAATTTGCGAGGAAAATTTTCATATGTCCCTTTTTCCTTTTCTAAACTATGTGCCCCCAGCAACAAGCAGCTTGAATTTATCTAATTATCGTTATCAAGCTTTAATTTAGCATTAGTGACTTTGATTTGAATCATCAGTACTGTCCAGATATTACTTGTGCAAAAGATAAGGAGTGCTCCTTTTTGTTTCTTTCATGTCATTTTCCTCGCTTCCACATCCAAAAGTTACAGCGCATGGGATGTTTCCAGGCTAAGCTTTAGAGCTATTCCCCTACACATGTTTGCCTTATCTCAACAATCATTCATTCCAAGAAATGGACATTCTCTGCCATCTTCACCTTCACAGAAACAGCACTTCTCTTTATCCCGTCAACCTTCTTGTTTTTAGCACTCAAAATCTTTGCTGGCAAATCTATCAACAATCCCAAGTATCCACCAGTTAAAGGCACAAACTTTAACCAGCTCCTCTACTTCGATAGGCTCTATGACTACCAAACTAAATGGCCAAGAAACAGAAAACTGACCGCTTCTAGCTCCGGAGCAAAGTGAGGTGTATACGCATACAAGAAACACAGAGCATGTGCTAAAAGCAAACTTTGAAAAGTATAATAAAGGAAAGCACAATCATGATATTTTTACTGATTTTTCTTGTGAATTGAAATTGTATGATATCCCATGTAATCACCATTGGAATTTTGGTGCACACATGCGTTGTAATTAGTAATTACACGTAAGTTATGGTTTAACTATTCTAATAAGCTCTACATATTTCAATCTAAATTCGGTGGCCACCCAGTCATAGACTTCAAAATAACTACATAAAAGATAGGCATATTAATAAAACGAATTGGACGTTACCCAGCTTTAATATCCTCAGAGTAGCATCAAGTTTAGTTTTATTATAATTTCACTCAATGCCTCCATATATGAGTTCATCTAGTGAAATATTTAATATATATAGCACTAAAAATAATATTAGTTCCTCAACTGTAAGTGATAGTATTGTTGTTAGTATCACTATCCTCAAATATAGCACTAAAAATACATGATCACTAAATACCTAATTCATTAAATTTATACGTATCTGGCGTAATGTATAAACTCAATTGGTATAATAATATCTAATTAATATAATTTATACCCAATTTACTGAATTCAGCTAAAATATAACATCACAAAGTAAACCCTAACATAAGCATATACTTGTTAGAGTTAATTAACCGTCACTTTCCTTCCAACCTCCACACAGCGTTGTCTATGTGATTATACTACTTCTACTGGGCCGAATCCATTAAAATACCAACATCCATCTTCCTTGTTTCACGTACTGCTCAACACCAACATGCCCTCCGTTGATTTTCTCTCTGATCCATTCAAATTCTCAGCTTTAGTTCCAATCCTATCTGTACTCATAGCCCAACTATTCACTAGAAAAATGAACAAAAAGCAGAAAAACACAGGTCCCATCCAGGTGGTGGCACGGTGTTTAACTACCTTCTCAACTTCAACGGGTTGCATCATTACATGACTGATCTTGCTGGGAAATACAAGACTCACAGGCGGCTAACCCCTTTCAGAAGTGAGTTTTACACTGCTGACCATGTAAATTAATGTTGTGTACAAACTCAAAACCAATTTTCATTTGTCCTATTTTCCTTTCCTAAATCGTGTTCTACCTGTATCAAGCAGTTTAAATTTACCCGATCATCGCTATCAAGCTTTAATTTAGCACTAGTGATTTAGGACAATTGAACTTGAATCTGAATCACCAATATTCAGATATTACTCATGCAAAAGACGAGGAGTGATTCTCTGTTTGGCTCACGTCATTTTACTTGCTTTCTTGTACAGAAGCTACGGCGCAATAGTGTTTATAGGCTAAGCTTTATAGCTATGGCCCTACCACGTAATGACCTGATCTCGACAATCACTCATTCCAAGAAATGGACATGCACCCCGCTATCTTCACCTCCGCAGCAACCGCACATGTCCTCAACCTTCTTGTTTTGACCACTCAAAATCTGTACTGGCAAATCTATCAAGAATCCCAGCTATATAACCATTAAAAGCCACACTCCTTAACCAGCTCCTCTACGTCAACAGGCTCTATGACCACCAAACTGAACTTTTCTCATCTAAATTTGGAGTGGAATGTGCATTTATTATATTGGTGGTTATACATAAATTAAACACCAAGGATTTTCACTCTAATATAAAAGTGGAGTCAATCCAATGTTATAATCTTTGAAGATATTTTTTCTTATAAAACTACATGAGAAATCCTTTTGCTTAAAAAAATGAAAGAAAATAGCTCATGTAACCTTCATCATACTATAGATAAAAGATCTACTACTTCACCTCGTTGAACACCAATTTTAAGGTGATAATCTAGTCTGATGTAGTCAAATGATTTTTAATTTTTTATTAATTATGCTAGCTTGTATAAAAAGATTTCCTCTTGTGCTACTTTTAATAAAAATCTCCAAGTTTTTTTAGGGATTTCAAGTGCTGGAATGTATTGCTTGATCAGGTAAAGTAATTGTAGAATAGTACTGAAGGCAATATTGATACAAAAAAAAAAACAAATTTTAGTTTTCCACTTGTGCTCCTCTTAAGAAAATCTCCAATAACTCTTAGGGATTTCAAGTCCAGGAAAGGATTGCTTGTCATCTAAAGTAATTGGAGAATAGTGCTGAAGGCAATATTAACGATCTAAGAAAATAAATTTAAGAAAATATCTTTCTGTTTGTCATTAAAGTGATTGGAGAATAGTGCTGAAGGCAATATTAACGATCTAAAAAATAAATTTAAGAAAATATCTTTCTGTGATGCATGATCATGCATGTGAATTCCCTCGGGCTGGGGTCCTGAAGAATCTTTCACCCGCCCAGGAGCAAAAGTTGTGGGGCGGCTGGTTATGTTTTTTTCTGGATTCAGCTGTGACAAATTGCTTGTTGACAGCTAGAGATCACCACGGCATCTTCCCTTGCTCTTATCTTTCCTGCTTCAAGGGATAAGATGAGCCCACCATTCTGATAAGATGCCACCGTGCGGTTGCCAACCATCAACATGCAAGGATCGTTATCCTAGATTTGTAGTTCAACGAGGTGAAGTGGTGAGTTTCTACCCTTCCATTACAGAAGAAGAAGAAGAAGAAGAAGAAGAAGAAGAAGAAGTTAATCATATTTAAATTTTATCATGGGATGAGGGGAGATTAGAATTTCTGAAAGACCAAATAGTATTTTTTTTTTTTTTGGTTCTCGGCAAACTGATGTGTATAGAAATAGCAAATAGATACGATTCTTTCCTCCAGGAAAGTGCTTAGAAGCGTATAATCGAGTAAGAAAAGTTTGTAGATTTTCGACAACATCAATTACAGCTACTTTTTGCCAACTGATAGCATTTCTAACACATGAGTTTTTAACATGATAAAGCTAAGTGAATATTCTTCTGACCATCACACAGGTTCTTGGATATGGCAATAGGCGTAACGATCTAATAGTAGTTGATTCAAACTTTACCTTATGCCACCAATTGTCGATTGAAATCACTTTACTTTTTCAAGTGCCGCCATGGTTTCCACGATGTAGTGAAAGATACTGACTCTCTCTCTCTCTCTCTCTCTCTCTCTCTCTGATCCATTAACACATGAATAAAAAACAAGATTTTTATCTAATTAGAGGAAAAAAGACGAAGAAAAAAACATTAACATCTCTCAATTTCAACTAGACGAGGAAAATGAGATTTTAGATAAAATTATAAATGAGCTACAAGCCCGTGTAGCTCTTGGCTTCAACAAGCTGCGATTACAAAATTAATCCCCAGAATGACTTCATTTTGGCATCTTGAACATTTATTCGCTTTTATCGAACTATAATCCAAGTGCTTCTTGAATTATGAATTCTTAAACTTCATTTGGTGTGCTCAATTACAAGAGAAGTTAAGGAGTATGGTCTATAATTTATATATGAAAAAGGGAGAAACTAAGAAAGAAAGTATTGTGTTTTTTTTATTTTTACTTTTTCTTATCAACAACTTTTCTAAGAAACCAAAAAAGAGTTGAGTTGGAGGCCATATGGCTTGAAGTTTTTTTTTATTGATGCAGTGTTCTAGTAAAAATTAAATTTTTTGAATATTTAGGTGATAATATAACAATATTAGATAAAGATCTAATTTAAATAGACTATGTAAATACTATAACAAATATTTTTATGAATTAAGGAGTTAGATTTAGGTTGAAGCGGAGATTGAACTATATTAAATTACTTAACATCTTAAAATTAAGATAATTGAAAATTCAAATGTTAAATCGAACTTAAATTTTTTCAAGTAATTTTATAGACAATTGTTCTATAAGAAGCCATTTTAATACTTATTGAATAATTGTATCTCTCAAAATTAAACTTGAAAATTATTATTTGGATCAATTTTGTTATTTTTTAGGATTTTTAGGATTTATTATTTTTATTTTAAATTATGTTTTAATTTTCTTATTTTTTTAGATTTTAAATTGTTTTCTAATACAGATAAGTTTTCCTATCTATTTAAAAAGGTATTGTAAACCTCTTGAAAAGATAACCACTACACATACATGAATTAAAGGAAAATGAGATTTTAGATAAAATTATAAGTGAGATCTTTAAAATGTTTTTATTTTTATTTTTATTTTTATGTGTATCTAATAAGTGAAGCCTTGGTGATCTTTATTTTGCATTTGAGGTTTTTTATTAAGTGAAGATAATTTTTATTTTATAAAATATAAATGACAAATATATATTACTTATTTTTTAGGTTTTTTGATTAAATGAGGCCTTGAAATGTTGCCCGTGTAGCTCTTGGCTTCAACAAGCTGCGATTACAAAATTAATCCCCAGAATAATTTCATTTTGGCATCTTGAACATTTATTCGCTTTTATCGAACTATAATCCAAGTGCTTCTTGAAGTATGAATTCTTAAACTTCATTTGGTGTGCTCAATTAGAAGAGAAGTTAAGGAGTATGGTTTATAATTTATATATGAAAAAGGGAGAAACTAAGAAAGAAAGTATTGTGGTTTCTTTTATTTTTTTATTTTTACTTTTTCTTATCAACAACTTTTCTCATAAACAA